TATATTTCTTTTTTTATATATATATATATATATATATATATATATATATAAATATAATAAATAATAATAATAATAATAATAATAATAAAACGTAACAGTTAAAACTAAATAAAATAAATTAATTAAATCTAAATAAAATTAACATACTATATATAAATATAATTAATAATAATAATAATAATAATAATAATAATAATAAAACGTAACACAATTAAAACTAAATACAATAAATAAATTAAATCTAAATAAAATTAGCATACTATATATAAATATAATAATTATAATAATAAATTATAATAATAAAATAAAAAATATATAATAATAATTATAAAATAAAATAAATAATTAAATTGTTTTGTGTATGATCCTCAAAATAAGTTTTTTTTTTTTTTTTTTTTTTTTTTTTGCGTCACATGGATAATCCAGAATGTCCCCAGTAGGAGCTTTTGTCAGATTTGTTTTGGGGACATTTTTGGCAAGTACACACACACACACACACACACACGCACACGCACACGCACACGCACTTACAGTCTCACACAATGAACATCTCACAGTGAGATCTGATCTCAGGATCTTAGTCCTAGATGATCCAGCACTCAAGTTAACAGGATACAAGTGCAGGACTGCAGCCAGAGAGGGACTTTAGAGTCTAAAATGACAGCCAGCAAACACTAAAGAATCCGTTTGAGTTTCTGATGCACACATGACATTCATATCAGCCTTAGAGTTTCCAAAAAAACAGCTAAACCACTCCATTTCAACAGTGTTTCCATTCATGTGGCTAGTCGGTCTTGCATTCCTGTTTAAACCTTACATGGTTACTACCGTTTGCTTTACAGTCTGATTTGAATTATACAATAACGATGCTGAAAGCAGCACAATCAATGGCGTCTGTATGACGTGTAGTGTGGTCTGATCTAATCTTGTGTTATTTATGGGTGTAATTTAATCACTGCCTCCCAAATTGGGGCTCTCGACTATTTCAGTGCATGTAAGATGCAATCACAAGGAATCTGATTAAAGCATAAATGACTGTAAACAAACGGCCGTGGGATGAAGACACTTTTGAAAACTTTAGATTGTGCTGACACTTTGGAAACGTCTCATGTTATAGTTTTAGATTGCAGATAAAAAAACCCTAGATTTAGATTAGTGTTTTAAATCTCTGATGACTTGAGATGATTTTAGATTTCAGACTTAAAACGTGATAGCAATTGCAATAGCAATATTTAGCTGATGTTTCCTTGAAGAAAATGAATGAAAATAATCTCTGAAATGGTCAGCTTTGAAAATGTTATCACTAGAACTACTGAGGCGGTAATTTTGACTGTTTTAATAATTAATTCATTAATTCATTCATTCATTTTACTTTGGCTTAGTTCTTTATTGCCACAGCGGAATGAACCATCAACTACTCCAGCATACTCACGGGCCACATTATTAGGTACACCTGTCCAACTGCTCGTTACTGCAAATTTCTAATCAGCCAATCGCATGGCTGCAACTCTAAATGCACTTAGGCATTTAGACATGGTTAAGACGATCTGCTGCAGTTTAAACCAAGCATCAGAATGGGGAAGAAAGGTGATTTAAGTGACTTTAAAAGTGGCATGGTTGTTGGTGCCAGACGGGCTGGTCTGAGTATTTCAGAAACTGCTGATCTACTGGTATTATCACACACAACCATCTCTAGGGTTTACAGAGAATGGTCTGAAAAAGAGAAAGTAGCCAGTGAGCTGCAGTTCTGTGGACACAAATGCCCTGTTGATGCCAGAGGAGAATGGCCAGACTGGTTGGAGCTGTTTGAAAGGCAACAGTCACTCAAATAAGCACTCGTTACAACCGAGGTGTGAAGAAGAGCATCTCTGAACGCACAAGACATCAAACCTTGAGGCAGATGGGCTAAAGCAGCAGAAGACCACACCGAGTGCCACTCCTGTCAGCTAACAACAGGAAACTGAGGCTATAATTCACACAGGCTCACCAAAATTGCTCAATAGAAGATTAAAAAAAACATTACCTGTTCTGATGAGTCTCGATTTACTGCTGCCACATTCGGATGGTAGGGTCAGAATTTGGTGTCAACAACATGAAAGCATGGATCCATCCTGCCTTGACCTTGCCAACGGTCAGGCTGGTGGTGTTGGTGTAATGGTGTGGGGGATATTTTCTTGGCACTCTTTGGGCCTTTAGTACCAATTGAGCATCGTGTAAACGCCACAGCCTACCTGAGTATTGTTGCTGACCATGTCCATCCCTTTATGACTACAGTACCCATCTTCTGATAGCTACATCCAGCAGGATAATGCACATAAAGTGCAAATCATCTTAGACTGGTTTCATGAACATGCCAATGAGTTCTCAAATAG